GAAAGGCTCGCACCCTTCCTCGTAGCGGGCTCGTCCGGGATTTGAACCCGGGACCTCTCGCACCCGAAGCGAGAATCATACCCCTAGACCAACGAGCCGCTGCCTGCTTCTTTTTCTCTAGCCAGGCTCTTCACTATTATCCCGCCTCCTTGTTACAAGTGTGCCAACTACTAATGGTATGGCCTGTTTTCTCCCTCCCCCCTCCCCAGGCTGCCGGATGGTTTCACCTACAGGCGGCCCTGGCTGGAAGATACCATTCCGTTTCCCACTATAATCCACCCGCCTAATGGGATCGCCTTTCCTCCACCCACAGTCAGTCGCCCCCATGTGGCAGATACTATTCTGATTCCTGCGGCGGCGGTGTGGGGAGCGCCGGATAGTAGGACTCCTGTATGGGGAAATCCCATTTACGCTTTGGCAGGGGGGAGCCTCACCCCCGCACTCCGCGAGGTAACAGACTGTTCCCCAACGGCGGCTGGATTGAGGAGAGGGCGAGCTCATCCCTAGAGCAGGGGGACGGGGCTCTTTCCCGCTTCAGCTCTCCCGCACACGCTGTGATCCGGACGTTCGGTCCTTCCCCCTAACCCCATAGTGGGACCATGGTTTAGTCCGGCCCTCCTTTCTTCCGTTGGGCTTCCGAAGGTCCCTGGACTAGATACCCGTATATTACTCCGTTCTATACGCCCCCTCCCTTAGCTCATCCCTAGAGCAGGGGGACGGGGCTCTTTCCCGCTTCAGCTCTCCCGCACACGCTGTGATCCGGACGTTCGGTCCTTCCCCCTAACCCCATAGTGGGACCATGGTTTAGTCCGGCCCTCCTTTCTTCCGTTGGGCTTCCGAAGGTCCCTGGACTAGATACCCGTATATTACTCCGTTCTATACGCCCCCTCCCTTCCCCTCTGGGTGGGAGGCGGGGGAACAGCTGCTCTCCCGCCCCTCGCTCCGCCCTGAGTCTGCGTCAGGCAGAGCCCAGAGGGAGGGGCCAGCTGGGGGCTGGGCTGGAATCCCCGGCGTGAGGCGTGGCCAGAATCAATGTGCCGCTCAGGCGGCGCCTCTGCACACGTCACGCCAGCCGCTGCTGCCCCAGGGAGGGGGACTGAGGCGGGCGGTGGAATGTGCCCCTCTTGCGCCACAGCAGAGCCACCCTGCTCCTCCTCATTGCAGGCCCCCTCCCTCCTGGCCACCCCCTTATGTGCTAGCAGGGCTGGAGTCCACTGCAATCAGCAGGGATCTCCCTGTGACTCTTGGAAGCTAGGCTGTAGATTGTCTGGGGATACTGTTGAGAAAATGGCATTAGGGCATGTTGGAGTGGAATGTGCCCCTCTTGCGCCACAGCAGAGCCACCCTGCTCCTCCTCATTGCAGGCCCCCTCCCTCCTGGCCACCCCCTTATGTGCTAGCAGGGCTGGAGTCCACTGCAATCAGCAGGGATCTCCCTGTGACTCTTGGAAGCTAGGCTGTAGATTGTCTGGGGATACTGTTGAGAAAATGGCATTAGGGCATGTTGGAGGGAAGAATCCCCTGGTGGAATAGCTTCTGGCAGAGTTGCAGACTCTTTGTGCTTCCTACCCTCAATGTGCCTTCTAATCTTTTTCTTCCATATGTGGGTTTTTTTTAATCCATGTGTGCAATAACTTTTTATGTGCACAAAGGCATGCGTTATGCACCACAAACAAAACCTAGCGGTGGGCACTCTGCTAATCAGCTGGGCAGCATTTGAATGCTGACTGGCCACACAAGCACACAGCTTACAAGGAACATTGCTGCTAAGGGTGGGTCTACAAAGCACACTAAACTCGAAATAAGATAGGCAATTTGCGTATCTTATTTTGAATCTATTTTGAAATATGGTGTGTTTACACAGCACCAAATTTTGAAATAAGATGCTATTTCAAGCCATCCTTTATTCCTTGTGCAACAAGGTTTACTGGGATGCCAAAATACCGTGCCTGTTATTTTGAAAACTACTTCAAAATACCAGGTGTAGACACGGGGTAGCTATTTCAGGATATTGGAGGTATCCTGAAATACCCATGCAATGTAGATGTACCCTAGGTCATCCACCTTCACTCAGTTGGGCCTGTCTGTGCTCCTACCAAGTGACCTAAGGAATCTGGGGCCCTAGGTTGAATTGCCTGCTCCATCATAAACTTCCTGGGTGACCTACACCCTTCAATTAGCCTCCTTCTGTGTGCCAGTTTCCCTGGTATGAAACAGAGATAACATGTTAAGATCATAATATGCATGGAACTCTGCTGATCACAAGCACTATGTAAGAACCAGATGTGACTACTGCTGCCAATGCCCTACCCAAATCACCTCTGCCAATACCTGACCTTCTCCCTCACTGCCTGGGCCTTTCATTTGGCTCCCATTTCAATTTAAATTAAAACCAGAAGACAGCCACATAACTTAACAAGATCTCAGCTGAATATAACTGCCAAAACTCTTAAGGTGCGTCTAGACTGGCAAGATTTTGGGCAAAAGCGGCTGCTTTTGCGCAAAAACTTGCCAGCTGTCTACACTGGCCGCTTGAATTTGCGCAAGAGCACTGACTTTGTAATGTATAAAATCAGTGCTTCTTGAGCAAATACTTTCACGCTCCCGCTCGGGAAAAAGCCCTCTTGCGCAAGAATACTTGCGCAAGAGGGCCAGTGTAGAAAGGGAAGGACTGTTTTGTGAAAAAAGCCCCGATGGCTAAAATGGTGATTGGGGCTTTCTTGTGCAAAATCGCGTCTAGACTGGCCACAGATGCTTTTGCACAAAAGCACCCGTACAAATCTAGACGCGCTTTTGCGGAAATACTTTTAACGGAAAAACTTTTCCGTTAAAAGTATTTCCGCAAAATCATGCCAATCTAGACGCAGACTTAGGTTGCATCTACCGTGCACATTCTTGTGCACGAAGATATGCAAATGAGGCATGGTGATCATTTGCATACCTAATGAGCCACCATTTTTGCACAAGGGGCTTTTGCGCAAGAAGGAGCAGTCTACACTTATTTTCGGGCAGACCGGCTCTTGCGCAAGACTGCTCCTTCTTGTGCAAAAACTCCTTGTGTAAAAATGGTGGCTCATTAGGTATGCAAATGAGGCGTGGCGATACTCATTGCTGTGCCTCATTTGCATATCTTCTTGCACAAGAATGCGCAATGTAGACGTAGCTTAAGTTTTTATGTAGCATTCTTTTCCCTACTCCTTTGTGTTTTTTCTCTAAATTTGAAATTCTGTGGGACAGGAAATCTGTATTGTTATACTACTTTAGGTTGGACATTGGGAAAAACTTCCTAACTGTCAAGGTAGTTAAACACTGGAATAAATTGCCTAGGGAGATTGTGGAATCTTCATCACTGGAGATATTTAAGAGCAGGTTAGATAGACATCTATCAGGGATGGTCTATAGTGCTTGGTCCTGTCATGAGGGCAGGGGACTGGACTTGATGACCTTTCAAGGTCCCTTCCAGTTCTAGGATTCTATGAGTCTATGATACTTATTTATAAAACAGCAGGCATGCCAAAGGTGCTATATAAATAATATTTTCCTTACTTGTGGTGTGCTCTTGTCCAGTCATTGGAGTTTTAGGATCTGATCCCGTACTCTGCTGTCAGAGAATCTGAGATACCACTATGGCCGCACTAAGGCCAGAATGCATGATCCAAGGCCTTTCCTACTTATTATCTGTATCATACAGCAGCCCCATGCAGGAGATATGTGGAGGTCTGCAGCTCAGCCCTATTCAGTTAATCCAGAAAAGCTGGGGAAGAGTGTCTGTTTTAACACATTTATTTTCTCCACCCTTCTCTCCACCCACGCAGACCCTCTTTGATCTAAGACAGGGCTGGCAAGATGCAGCCCGGGGGCCAGATGCAGCCCACCTAACACTCTGATCCAGCCTGTGGACTGCATCTGGCTGCTTTCTATTTATATCCTGCTGCACGTGCCACCAAATTTCCAGGTGGTGGTGGCTCAGGCAACAGGATCCTATTTAAATGGCTCAGGTTCCCAGTTGCAACATTACCCCAACCCTTTAAATAGCTGGAGCAACCCCAGATGGCTGCCAAGCAACATGGTGGTGGGGCCAAGAGCCTGCAGTATTTTTAATTCAAAGCCTCCAGCCCTGGAAAATCCTGGTGGGAGGCTAATACCCAGCTCTGCTTTTTCCACCCCAGATCCTGTGCCTTCCGGAGGTGGAGCCAGCCCATGACCACGTACCAAAATTCATCAAGTGGCCCCCCCTGCAAAAATTTGTGCCCACCCCTGATCTAAGAGACATGCATGAATCCTTCATTCAGTAAATAATCTTTAATCATTCAGTGAGGCTACACTCCCTCAGCTAATACTGAGCCAATCCCCATCTGTTAGGACTTTGTTACCATAGATTAACAACTGACCTATAGAAAGCCACATTAAGTAGTGCCTGCTTCTTGGAAGCAGAGAGTGATGTCATACCTGTGTAATGTAATGTGCAATTGTGTGTGTGTGGAGGAGCAGTTTTCTATTCTTACTGTGCAATCTTTAATTACTACACAGATATGATTTGTGTTTTTAAGGATACTGGGCTAGATGGACCTTTTCTCTGATCCAGTATGGCCATTCTTATGTGAATTTCAAACCTGATGGTTAAACATCATACTATTCCCAGTTGTAATCCTGCCCTCATTCTGTCTGCTGCTCCCAGCTCCACCCATCTTGGTTTAGGCTTCTGCAACTCCCCAGAAAGAAACACACAGTTATTTTTCTTTTCAGTTCTGCTGTTTTATTTTCTCTATTTTTCCATTATATTTTCAAGGGGAGGGAGGACAAATTCCACCCTCTTGGCCAGCACACACATTCTCTAAACATGCACACGCATATATACAGTAATGCACAATCACATATGTCCATATACATCTGCTGAGAACAGAAATGTTACAGTGATGACTGCAGTCTGGCCTGGGATACAAGCCCAAGAAAAAAAATTAAAATGTATTTCAAAGATGAAGACACGTGCTGATCCCATTGTGGTAGGCTCTGTATAAACAAAGAACAGAATGACTCTGCCTCATAGGTCTCCATCCACAGAGCAGGTGCAGCATAGGCAACAGCAAAGCCAGGTTCCATCACTGTCTGCCTGGTCAGTGTGTCGAACCTCTGGCCTGTGGCAACCACTTCAAAGATGAAAGGGAGTTTGATCTCATCTCCATGGCTCTTTCAGTCTTTGGCCTCTTCAATGATACTGTTGGGAAGAGGGGGGGTTACATAATGTGTTTGTGGTTTTAGTGATGTGAACACCTGTCTATTAGGAATGGGGATTGTAACACCTCCCCCCCCAACTCATTTCATGTAGGCCAATCAATAGCTAATGCCATCTGGAGGAAAATGGCTCCATTGCCCATCCACTAGACCCCTGAGCTAGCTAGTCATTTGAAAGTTTTAATAGAGCCCTAAATGCCAGCTCTAAGCACTTGTACATGTCCCTCGGTCACCACAGTATCTGAGTACTTCTGCTGTCATCCTGTCCTTTCAAACACTCCTTCTAAATTCTCTAGTTTAAAGAGAGAACCTGGACTCTTAAAATTATTTTTATGGGAGGGTAATTCATCAGTTGACATCCAGCCTCGACTATACTAAATGAAACTCAACCATACACGGGCAGTTCACTAGCTTATTTGGAATGAATAGATTATTTCAGTCCCATTTCCGGTAAACAAGTGTCCTTATCACAAAAAATTAAAAATGATTCTAATTGATCACTGTTTAGCAGTCTCAGTAGAGTCCAAAGACAGAAGATGTCATGACGACTCACTTAAACTTGACCCATCCAAGTAAAAGTTGAATATAGTTGTGAAGTAGTGTGAGGAAAGCTTGTGCTATTACTTCCCATGCTATAAGTGTTCTGTGGATATGGTATTTCAGTCATGACTTATCAACAACACGAGAAAAAAAAAACCACCAAGAAATCCTACCGAAAAATAATCTTCAGCTGTTGGGTGTTTCAAGTACGAATTTATCAATCCAAAGCTAATCCTAGTAAATATTTATCAAAGACACTGTATAAGCCATTTAAAATGATGTTTTCCAGATTTATGATTCACATTGTCTGCCATACAGCATAAATATATATATATATATACAGAGAGAGAGAGTGAGCGAGAGAAAATCAATTCTCCTATAAAAAAAATTAATTTACTTACATTTGAAAACTAAAAATATTTCAAAGGCAAGCTATTTAGAATGCACGATTTATATATGTCCAAAACTGATAAGCTGCATCAAAGTCCAATACGGAGGAACAAACAAAATTTGAAACTCTGCTGTAATGGTGAACATTGGGCTCAGAAATGGTGGTGTTTGTCATGCCCAAGCTTCTGTGCATCATGTCTTCAAACATGGCCATAAAGTTCTTCAATAAATCCCAAGAAGAGTCAATCAGTGCATCCTTTTTGAACCTACAGAAAAAAAGTCTTAATTCCAGTCTTTTCTTCCCACTGCTACACAGTGTTGTGGTGTAAGAACAGTGAACTTCTTTGATGTTGTTAATATTCCACAGATCTGTTGCTGGGGAGAGTTCTCCAGTAGCTGCACCTTAATCAGACTATTTGGTTTCTCTTCACATTAAAGTCTCCTCTATCCTGATTGGGTTCATCCTTTTGAGAGGGAAAGAATGATAGAAGACAATAAGGAAAGTTATAAAAAAAAGTTACAATTTTATATTGATTAGGAATCAATAGGAAAGTCTGAAATCTGGGTGCCTTTTTAGTTATCTTTTATAATTGGATTATGGTTTTCTTGCTATAAATTTGAAGGAAAGCTGCAGCCAGACCACTCCAGATTAGGGATGTTAAATAGTGGTTTGTAAGCAAATTGAGGAGTCGATGGAATTTACGCCCCGTCCCAGATGCTGGGGCTCTGTTTTTTAAACATAATAAGAGCCCCTAGGCTCTTACTACATTTAAAAGGTAGAGCCGCAATGGTCTGGGACTGGACATGAGCCAGGGCAACTGAGTCATGGCTTGTGCCTGGTCCCAGACACTGCAGCTCTGCTTTTAAAATGTAGTAAGAGCCACAAAGGCTTATCGGGTAGTTGATTACTCGACTAATCACTTACATCCTACTCCAGATTGATTTCCCCTGTTCTCAGAAGCTAAGCTGGGTTAGTACTTGAATTGATGACAGGGAATACGTTTTTCTCCGTTTTTACTTTCCTATCCACATCCATTCTGGATCTTTTCTCCCTACAAAATGCTCTTTAAGACACATATTCAAACCTTCCAAACTCAAGATAGTTCAGTTTTAAAACAATCAGGACTGGTGGAAACCTAAGTTTGAATGCAGAAGGGTCCAATTTGCTAGGATGACTTTTCAACACTAGAACTGTGCTCTGTAATAGTTAGCGTACTGATGGCATCGCTGCCCTGTTGGATGGAACGGGAGACCTATTTATGTGTGAAGCAAAATGCAGGACAATGTAGCACTTTAAAGACTAACAAGATGGTTTATTAGATGATGAGCTTTCGTGGGCCAGACCCACTTCCTCAGATCAAATAGTGGAAGAAAGTAGTCACAACCATATATACCAAAGGATACAATTAAAAAAAATAAACAATTTATGTGTGTGAGATTATGTTAACTACCATAGGTTAAAGGCTAGGCACAGTAGTATGTCGTGTAAGTCCTAACATAGCATGTGGAAATTCTCCTTTATCTCAAGTGGTAGAGGACTGTGTTTTTTGAATTGGAAGGAAATAGTTTTTGTGGTTTAGTGGGTGATCACGAAATTGGTATGTATGCACCACAATTATGGCTGACACTGCTAACAATAAGTTTGGAAATATTCCTTTTAATCAGACAAGGTGTCAAGGGTCAACATTTTTCTCTCTTCTTTCACCTACATACTTTTCACTGTCATGCTTGCCTGGGGAACTGAGCATTTTAATTCTCTATATTAGGTGCTCTCATATTGAAGTTGATTTGTATTGAGATTTGACAAACAGCAGAGGGAAATGGTAACACTGACATTTTGGCACATAAGCCTTTTTCTTTTTCAGGCAAAATGTTTGTGAAAGCCTCTGGTATTTCATGAACAATTACTCTGGTGGCCTATCTCACCTCTGCTTCATACTTACTCGGTGTCCAGTTCTTGCATTGGTGTCACACTTCCATGCTCACTGGCAGTTCCTGTGTCTGCTGTAGGCTGTGGTATCCCAGTCTCCAGGGATTTTTCCTGAGTACCTGTTTCCTGTGCGTCTTTGCCCTCACTGTTTTCTTCCTTCTTCACTTCTTTATTTTCTTTGTTCCTTTTCTCCTGTTCATAGGCATTGCCATGCTCCTTTCCTTCCAGGGAGCTTATGTCCCTCTTTTCTTCCTTATCCCCTAGGGTGTTCTGGCACAGCTCCTTATCCTCATTTCCCATGGTATTTGGACATGGCTTCTCCTCTGGAGTGCTCTGGCTTAGCTTCCCTTCATTCTTCCCTGGAGAGCTCTGGCATGGCTTTTCCTTATCTTCTGTGCTGCTCTTGCGTGGGGTCACTGCCTCTCTTTCCTTCTCTTTCTCCTCTTCGTTTTCTGTTCCACTGGGCTTTCTCCTTGATGGTGGCTTTTCATCGGATCTTATCCGTTGCCGCAACACTTTACTGCTGGTTCCAAATGCAGGAGACTGAAACTCCTCTTTCTGATTTTTAGGCATGAACACATCATCACTATCCTCTTCTTTGGCCCCATTTTCTTGAGATGATCCAGTCGCCTTTAAATCGTTACTATCTCCATAGTCTGACTGAGACTTTCGGAATTTCCTGGAGGGGGGTCTGCGCTTAATTGATCCCCGTGTCCGCACCTGAAAACAGGTAAAGTTGAGATGCAGGCATTTCAAAGAACCACACAAGTGTGCAGTGGCAGCCCAGAAACCTATGGGTACATGATTCAGATACTCAGCTGCCAGCTGGTGACTCAAACATCAGTTCTCCTCCTCACTAACATTTTACCTCTCTGAGAAAGTAGTGAGAGATCATTGCCCCCATTTAAACAGGTTCTTTCTACAATTTACGTATCATATCTGAAAACATTGACTACAAGGACACTAGACTCAGTATATAGTTGCTTATGAGTGAGGAATTACTTTGAAAACCTCTGCCATTTTAATTTTGGCACTGGGATAATGGGAAAGGATAAAGGAGTTTCACTTCTCAGTAGTAAACTCAGGTATTTCAGGTTCTCTTTCCACTGTTGCCAATGCGTTTGAGTCTTAATCTGCAGAAACCCCTTCTAGTGTGCTGTGCCTTGTGCCTCCCAAATTTTTCCATTTGAAAGCTGTATTGGCAGCTATAGGTGCTGTAACTATGGGTGCGAGGTTGGGAGAGTGCTGTAGCACTCCCCATCGTCAAGTGATTTTCATTATATACAGGGTTTATGGTTTGGCTCCATGGCTTTCAGCATCCCTTATTGTAAATGATCTGGAGAAAGGGGTAAACAGCGTGGTGGCAAAATTTGCAGATGATTCAAAACTGCTCAAGATAGTTAAGTCCCAAGCAGATTGCAAAGAGGGTCTCACAAAACAGGGGGACTGGGCAACAGAAAGGTTCATGTTGAATTGAAGCAGGTGAGTAATGCCACGTCACCACCTGAAGACAGCTGGAATCTGATTGACCAACCAAAAAAAATCTGTTTGCAAGAGAGGGAGTCCAATGGACCATAGTGAGAGGCAGTTTCAAAACAGATGCATAGATCTCCTCATTTGGCTACAAACACACACTCTCAAGACTGAATTAGAAAGTAAGAACTAGTGTTCCATTTCCACTCCAAGCAGTAAGCTGGCTTTGGCTTCCTGTGTTGGAGGCCTGGCAGACACTGTACCTTGGTATGAAACTGGAGTTGAGTACCCTCTGGTGGTTGATCAAAACTGACTGGTGCCGCATCTGATTCACTGGAACGGGACTGGATGCCAGGGCTGCTGGGAGTTGAAGGGGGAGTGCTAAATGGAGACGGTATAACTTTCAAACCTGGGCTTTTTGGAGATGTTCCTGGCATCAGGGTAGTTGGAGCAAATGCCAGATTGGCCTGCAAAAAATGACATAATTATAATAAACCTCCCCTAAGATTTAACATGATTTTTGGTCTGCCACCCAAATTTCCCCTGTCAGCAGTAAAGTGGACTGAAACAATTGATGGTAATATGATCACATAGTGACCACATGGGGGAGCCCTTGCCTTTAACACATGATACTAAGTCATCCAGCTGACACAAGAGATGTAGCTCCTGGTTTTATGTTTCTCCTGGTGATACTGTCAACAAACAATCCCATGTGAAGAAGTTCTGGATGGACAATTGAACAGCTCGATCTCTGAAGCATTATTATGTCATATGAAGTATTAGGGGATTTTCCAGTGTCTCAGCCTAGCAAATATGTCTCCCATGTGGCACAGGAAAGGCTGTGAAGAGAGTAGTCAATAACCAAAAGAAGCTTTAAATCACTCTGTGTTTAAATCACCTGAAGTTTGTAGCTGTGAGTACTCTCAGGCCCTTCAAATGATCATTAAGGGTATGTCTACACTGCACAGCTATTTCAGGATACTGGTGATATACCGAAATAGCTAACCCACATCTACACAAGCGGCCTGTTATTTCAAAATATTTTTTTGAAATAACGGGCACGCTATTTCGCCATCCCAGTAAACCTCATTGCACAAGGGATAAGGGATGGCTCAAAATAGCACATCATTTCAAAATTTGGTGCTGCATAGCACAAATTGGGTATCTTATTTCGAGTTTAAGGTGCTGTGTAGATGCACCCTCAGTTTAACAAGAGAAGACCTTTGAAAAAACTTGTGTGTGTGTTTTGTGATGGGGCTCCTAATTCTAGAATCCCACTGAGTAGTGCCTATTTAGTTCAAATACAACTGAAGTGTCCCTGAGTGTCCTTGAGTTGAGCTCAATACTGCCACGGACAGCCTGCTATTATTTGGGCACTGCTAGGAGAATGCTCACAATACCAGGCATGCTAGCTGGCATTAGCAGGGCTTTATGTGAAGAGACCGCACATTGTTAGTTATCCTAATTGGCGTAAACCAGCTTCTGAGAGTTACAGGTGAGCCGTAAATGCTGAACAAGCTGTTGAATTCCTTGGGAAACAGAAAAGTGAGATGCTTTTAGGGCAGGGCTGGGCAAGATGTGGCCCAGGAACCAAATCCAGCCCCCCTAACACTTTGATTCAGCCTGCGGACTACATCTGACTGCTTCCTATTTATATTCTGCTGCCTCCTATGCCACCGAATTTCCAGGTGGTGACTCAGGCAGTTGGATCCTATTTAAATGGCTCACAGCTCCCACTTGCAGCATTACCCTGGCAAGGGCTGAAGCTGCGAGTCTTTTAAATAGCTGCCACAACCCCAGGTGGCTGCCAGCCAACATTGTAGCAGTGGGGCCAGATCATGAGCCCTTTGCTGTGTTTTTAATTTAAAGCCTCCAGCCCCAGACAATATCGGGGGGGAGGGTTAGTCCCAAGTCCTGCCCCTTCATTCTCAGGCCCTGCCGCTTCTGGGGGTGAAGCCAGCTCATGTACTAAAATTCATTAAGTGGCCCACCTGCAAAAATTATTGCTCACCCCTGTTTTAGGATAGTCTACATGCAACTGGACGGGTGCTTGGATAGACAGACATACTAGTTCTTCTTGATCTAGTCGATTGTTTCTCAACCTTTTTTTATAAAGTACCCCTTTAAAAAAATTATAAGTACCCCCGGTACCTACAGTTTTCAGACGCACAAACATTTTTTCTACCATTACAACACATTTGTTTAAACAACTTAATCGTAGCCAGGCGGGCGATTAAATATTTGGGTATAAAAAGAACAAAAATAATAAAGTGCTGTAAAACTTAAAACAAAAATTCAGTTTTCTCCAAATTTCAGTTGTGTTGACGTACCCCCTCCCCTGTCCCCAAGACTACTCGTACCACTGGTTGAGAAACACTGATCTAGTCTACTAAAAATAGCAGCATGGCCACTGTGGTGGCTTGAGCTAGCTTCCTGAATACAATCCCATTTGACCTCCTGGGTGCATACTTGGGGGGCTAGCCTGATCCACAGCCTATGTCACTGTGGCCACACTGCTATTTTTAACTTGCCAGCTCAAGCAGAGATAGTACCTGTCTTTCTATGTGTAGGCATACCCTCAGAAATACAAATATAAGAACCATGTTAAAGGGTAATCAGTTTAATTCCCTGAGAATTAAAACAGCCATGTTGACAGCATCCAACACCTACCTGCAGTTTTTCTATCAGAGGAGAGCTTTTCACCTTGACCCTGGGGAGGGGAAAAGCATTTGGAGACAATTTCTGTAAATAAACAAGAAAAGACCAAAATAAACTTGATGAATAAAGAGACTGATCCTGGGAAGTGAGGGATGGAAGAAGAGGAAGGAAAGTGAAAAATGTGTCTCTGAAGTCTATGGAGTGATCTTTACAAAGGAGTCTGTTCTTTCCTTTCCTATTACTCCCACCTCGTCTGCTTTCTAGCCATTCAAGTCTAAGATAAAGAAGAATTAGAGTGCACAGGACTGAGAAAGGGGAGAACAGTGTATAGAGTAATATCTGGAGTAAAAACAGATTATCAAAATCTGTTTTCCCTCCCTTTCCCCTTCCACCAATCAAACAGTGCCCTCTTTTGAGAGAAAATGGGATTCTGTCCCTTCTGACTAGTATATTAGGGTATGTCTACACTACAAAGTTAGTTCGAACTAACTTAGTTCGAATTAGTTAATTCGAACTAAGCTAATTCGAACTAACACGTCTAGAACTAAAAACTAGTTCGAATTAGCGTTTTGCTAATTCGAACTAGCAAGTCCACATTGAGTGGACCCTGAACAGGGCTTAAGGATGGCCGGAAGCAGTGCCGGCAGGGCATCAGAGGAGGACTTAGAGCGTGGAGATGCTGTCTCAGGCTAGCCGAGGGCTGCGCTTAAAGGGTCCCGACCCCCACCCCGGACAGACAGTTCTAAGGGGTGCCCCGCTTGCAAAGCAGTCCTGGCTTGGATTGCCCGGAGTACCCACACTGGGCACATCACACCACTCGGCCATCAGCCCGGCTGCACTTGCCGCAGGCTGCCATCTGGGGAGAGGGGGCAATCGGGGGGCTGCAGGAGAGCTTCCACCCCCAGAAGCCCGCAGAGCCAGCCCAGTCCTCCCCATCGGGGGCTCGTACCCCA